CTGTAAATAATTAAAGCCTAAGCATAAAGATGGTCATAACCGAGTTATGGAACGTAAAGTCGCAGTTGTAGGCTGATCAAAACATTGTGCGTTGATTTACGATTATGACCACAACTCAGTTATGGCTATTTTTGTGCTGAAACTCTAAAAAATCATTTATACTGTGATTTGTTAACTTATACTATAAACTATACTGTTAACTTATACTGTAAATTATAAGAAATTGACCATTCACAGTAAACTACAAAAAAATAATCAACTTTATTTTTCTCACATTCAACTGTGATTGATAAATTTCTTATAGCTTATGGTATAAATTAATAGCTTACGTGTAAATTTTTTATTCAGTCAATAGCATGAGAATTATAATGAAAACATACTTCACTTGACAGATAATCTGTGATATTGTCGAGGATAGGAATTATGAGATTAGGCTGTGAAATTGCGATATTTTCCAGAAATATAGATATATTGCGACTATCCGTCTCGTTAACTTCGCTTTGGCCTATCTCATTCATCACTTCTTTTATCAAACCATTGCAGCCGCATTCAGTAATCATATGTACTACGCCAGCCGCTATTGGTACTGCCAGTGCATCATATAATTTTACCAACTGTAATATTGCACACACAATGTTTTGTATATTTTATAAATAGAAATTACAAATATTTATTCAGATAAGTACCTGAACAATCCTCACAACACAAGTTATTCCATGGTTGTATTTTTTAACTAAAGTTCCTAGAATCTGTTTGTAGCAAAAATTATAGTAATTAAATATAAGATTCATATGTACCTCTTATAGATATTTAATACTAATACTAAGATGAATTAATCACTTATTTCCAATATTAAAAATACTATTGACAATACTTTCAATACTCAAAATAAGTAATTAATTGATCAATATTAGTATTACATTTATGTAAGGGACATGCAAACATAAACAGCAATACCTCAAATATAGTTTCCCTTGCGTGTTTTTGCTTAGCATCCTTACTCTGTTCTAATATCTTATAACATATCTGTGCTAAAGTCCTGCAAGCATTACAGTTATAATATTACATTATTTTAAAATTTTAACTTAGAACAAACTTAATAACTTTGTGTTCCATAATTTACATGACAAATGAATTATCAACAATAGGCGGTCTCCATATTTTATGCAATGGGATCTGTAGCCATCTATACAGAAGTTCCAATGCTTTCTGTCTGGATTGCTCCCATTCTTCTTCAATATCTGACTTTGTACTTTTCTTACGCTATAAAGAAACATTCATATCTTCATTCATATAACTTTGTAACATGATATTATAGATTTAGACAAATTTCATACCTTTCCAATATTGTTCTCATTTATATTTTTTACATGTTCTTCTATATGGCAGATAAACCATGAAAATAAATATGCCAACATATTGTTAATGCATAGATATGTTTCCCTATTCTCTTCTTCTGCAATATCTTTGCCATGATCAAATATTTTTTCCTGTTCATCTAAAAGTACTTCCACAGCTGAAAATCACATACGTACAAATTTAAATAAAATAATTAATTTATTGTAATCAATTATATATTTATATCTATTGTAAAAACATAATATTACTATTTTTAATATAATAATAGAACATCTCGCAAAGAATATTACCTTTGTGAATTCTACTGAAAAAACGTAGACAGACCTGCAGTTCCACTTTACTGCCATGAACAATAACAGAAAAAAATGTGTCAAAATGATTCAAAATAAAATGTGCTCCATTTGATTGCAATGCTAATCGTGTAGCTGCAACATAAATTAAAATAAGTTTTAAACTATCTAAATACAACTGTTATTTTAATGATTTACACACACTAATAACAATATATTCACAATAACTTATTAACTATAAACAATTCGATTAACTATAAACAATTTTAAATTTATTACAATCAAGAGTTTGAGATAGCGCCCGTAAAGGAGTAATCTCTTCGACAAAATACTGCCCAGCATGTGACGTTAAAAGTTCATCCTTCACTAAAGGAATCACGAATTTTTTCACCATTTTCACGCAATATTGAAAGTATCACCAAAAATGTTAAGCACTGTTAGTGAGATTCTTTACACTACTCTATAATATTTTCACTAAATATTTAAAAATAATATCTTTTCATTGGTCATTTATACATCACAATCAAATATGTTCTTTCTAACAAATTTTCGATTAGGTATATCAAAATTGATCAGAATGAAACTTAATCGAGTTCAAACAAATGCTATCAACGCCACTAACGGAAAAATTAAAGGTGCCTTTTCATATTGGATGCATTGGGTGCATTCAGAACGACACCGCTCACTGGCTCTTTTATCTGATTGGTCTATATTTTAGAATCTAATGGAATATGCCAATCAGATGAAAGAGCTCATTGAGCACTCAGTGAGCGATTATCGTTCTGAATGCACCCATTCAGTATTTATACTGCTCACTGAGCTCTTGCATCTGATTGGCATATTCCGTTAGATCTAAAAATATAGATCAAACAGATACAATAGAATGGGTATAAAGAGAATAGGCCTATGGCACTTAATTACTAAACTCTATCAACTCTAGTATTATTTTATCCTTGTCGGTCATCAAATGTTGAATAAAGATAAAAGGTACTCGGAGTTGACAGAGTCAAGTTTTGAAACGCACTCCAGAGTGCTCCAAATTTTGATTCTATTCATCTTGAGTAGATAGAGCGGACTAAACTAAAGGTGCGTCAATATAAGTCTAAGATAAACTAGCAGATGACGAATTTGATCACGTGATTTTCGAGCAATCAAAAATTAATTCCAATTGAATGATACAGAGCTGTAAACTGTCTTTTAAGGTTAGATTATAAAATGAAATTGTTTATTTTTATGAAATAAATAAAAAATATCCTAATTGAAAATATCTTTCGCTTTATTAAAAACTGATAATAATCTTATAGGCTGCATTTTCATGTTGCCGATTTGAACATCAAAACAGATCATGTGATCAAAATTGATGCTTGGTATTCCTCACTTTTGATCACGTGATCTGTTTGACACTCGAATCGAGCGTCGAGCGTCAGCATGAAAATGCAACCTTATACTAAAAATAGATCATACATATGAATGTAGCAGAATCATACACAAGGTGTGTTTTCTTAAAAGAAAATACTACGTTACAAATAAATTTTTGTAATTTGAAATTTATAAGTTACATCACTTGATTTATAGGCTGTGGTTAATCTCGCTACAAATGTTTTGAAATATTTGATGGACCAATTAGAAGAAAGAATTTTACAAATTGACTAATTAAAAAACGCTTCAAAGCGTTTGCAATATCACGTTGACCACACCTATATTCGTTAAAGTCTTTAATATAGTAATACAATTTAATTTAATTTTATTCTATATGTGCAACATAAGTATTGACCTAAAATTTAACTAGCAAATTCTTTGTTTCCAAATACGTAATCACAAATTCATAAAGAGGAAAAGAATTAAAAATTTACTTTCCTCGTTAAATATTGTACATAATGTACTTCATCAATTTCTATTTGATAGCATTTATTTGAGCGTTTGTAGATTATAACAATTCAAATATACTATTTATAAAATAAAAGTGTTAAAAGAGATGAATGTACGTTACGTGTTAACAAATTAGTTGGATATATTATCATAAATATACAGGTTATGAATTTAATTTAGGCGCGAAAATCTGCGAGCTCGATTTTTGAATCCAGAGTGGATCGAGCAGCTCTAGAAATGTTAATACCGAACGTAGATGAGATGACATGTAGCAGAAAGATATGAGATGCCGAACGATTTTCGAGTAAAAGATCAAACGGACGCATCCGATTTGTAATGCCGAACACATCTACAGGTATGGTACGTATATTGTACATAATGTGTACATATCTATATATAAATTTCGCTTTTAATTATAGAAACTTAAATTACTGCTTATTACAAAACTAATCTTTTAATTTAATTATAATTATTTTAAAATTGTCTCAAACACACACACACACACACAAAAGAGTTGAGGTTTCATAAATATAATTTTTTAATTTTTTTTTAATTTTAATTTTAATTTTTAGCCTTATATGCCCTTTTTGTCTTATAAATTAAAATTCGATTTTTTATTAAGTATAATCAAATACAATAGTTCAAAATTGTTTTATAAATAAATTCTGAATGACATTATAAAATAGTCATGTTACTTTATTGCATTTGAATAAAATAAAACAATAAATAAATACATTTACATCCATATATGTACATATTCTACTCTTATTGTTCTACTCTTATGAAAAGTTATATACATATAAATGTTAAATTAAAATAATTTATTTCATTTTCCTAATTCATTGTATTTTCTTTAATTTTATTCAGTATATTTTTTTAATCCTAAATCATTTTGTATGTAGCACTATTATAAAACTGTCAGCAAATAAATTATTTTCCTGCTGTAAGATAAAATGAGATAATTATTCTTGTTATAAATATAATTGTCCCGACAAATGCATTATATTTCTCAGTTGCAAACTGACGACTTTTAGCTTTGATTTTTAAGATTCGCAATTAGATATTTTACATAATTGTCGAGGAAAATCATTATAATTATCATCAAAACAAAATTATTAGAAAATAAGTGATTAAAATACACACACACACACACACACACACACACACACACACACACACACACATACACACATCTCTTATGTTTTTTTGAAGAAAATGGCCTAATTAAAAAAGATTTGAATACATAAAGTTTAATAAAAAAATATAATGCATGAGAGAAATGTTTTTATATTATTGATCCGACATTTGTATTTTTATATTAGAAATTATTGAAATAATAATGAAAAATCGGAGATTTTTTATAATATAATAATAATAATACAAACAATTTTTATTTATAATTTTAATATAAATAATTTTTACATCTGTAATACAATAAACTGGATATAATAGAAATGTAAATATTTATATATTTTCATACGGCTTAGAATTTAGAATTAATAAATCATTACCGAGCAAACTGTTATCTCAGAATTGCTACTAATAACGAATTAAAATAGATTGTTACTGTCAGCTAGACAGAATAATTTTAAAAATACTATGCCGCTCCAGTGCTTGTAACTCAACGAGAATGGTAGCTACAGTATGTCTCAATTGATGAAACTTTGCCAAAGATAATTCAAAAGTCACACATTCACCTGTATTGAAAATCCATTCCATCATAATAGTTGGTTCTAGTACTCTGTTTAATATACTGCAATATATATGGAAAAATATATTAGAATTCTCTGTAAAATATTATTTTATGAATAAATATTTACTAAAAAAAAATATCCAAACATACTTTGATGAGATTGTAATATCTACGCGCCATTTGCAAGATATAAGTTGTGGATTAAATTTTGTTCTTTGAATTAAACCTAATAACAAATCTGCTTGTTTTGGACCATAAATCACAGAGGATAAATCTTCTACACATTCTGGATTCAATCTGTAATATGCATAAAAAATAGAAAGATAAGAAAAATTCCGTATAACTTTTTAGATGCTATTATAAAAAAAAAGATATAATTAAAATTATTCTTTATTATTATTCTTTATAACAATTATTGTTATAGATATGAATTTATTTGTTATATAAAAATATAAATGTTCAATCACAAGCTATAAGAGCCATTTGAGTTACAAAACCTAACATATATATGTACACTTACTTCAATTCTTCCAAGCATTGTTTAAATTCCACAGGTTTAATATTATGGCATTGCGAACGTAGATATATTTTTAAAATTGTAAGAATAGCAGCATAATATTCATCTACATGTTCTTCAGGTATGCTATATTTTTTACTTATTCTTTCTAATATACCTTCTTCTACGTGTTCCAGTTCTATTGCTTTTACTGCAACTATATGTTTTAAACAATTATTATACAAATGACATAGATATCCTGTTCCTTCTTGTTATACATAATATGTAAATTTGACGCAGTATTAATTTAATATTTCAATCTAACTCTTATTTAATTCAATTACAATTCTTTAAAATAATTTTAGTTTGTTTTTAATAAAAGTAATAACTCACGTTGTATTAATGGACGCGCGAATGTTTTTTTTAATTCCGCAAGATATTTTGTTTTGTTCCCTAAAGCACTCAAAAGCTGCGTTTGAAGGGTTGTCATTGTATAGTGACGTTCAGTTCGAGTAACTTTGACAAATTTCAATTGCTAACTTAACCAAAAATGTCTAACGCCCCAAACAAAATTGAACGCATTGCCATCTATTGGAGATTAAAGAAAATTAGATAAGTAATATTACCGAGATATGATGCAGGTAGAAGAATTTATATTGACTGCTAATATAAATTTCTTGAAATTGCTCGACTTGATATAAATATATCTGAATAATATATATTATTTAGTTATATAATGCAATATTTAAGTTCTTTATTTTTATACAGATGCTTCATAAATTAGCATACATAAAAATTAGATATATTTTAATAATGATTGAAACGGTCGATAATGTCAACGTTCTATCCGTGTTCCAGAGTTCAGTCATGAAAAAATTTATCCATTGCCAATGATTTAATAGTAAGTGCTGTCAGTAATGTGATAAATAAATAGTTTTACTTATAAAAGTTTACTTATAATTATTACAAATCTTTTGGATATAAAATTTGAATTAATAATTATTTTGCTCGACAGTAAATGCATCGTTAATGATGTGAATGTCGCTTATTTGTTGAAGAAGGGATCAATAACATATATATAATAACGCTATTAAATACAAATAGTGAATTACAATGTTATGGAACGCGTTGTAAGATTTTTTTTAGTAGCATTTATATATAAAATCACATTAATTTTAATATTTTAAGCTTAATATGCGATAAGAAAATCAACCAAATTCCCTGATATACTTGGTTGAAGTCACTGCTTACAACTGACCGTGTGGCCTAATGGATAAGGCGTCGGACTTCGGATCCGAAGATTGCAGGTTCGAGTCCTGTCACGGTCGCAGGCAACTAATTTTTTTTTCTGCTATACGAGACACACTATATGTTCTATTATTATATAGAATTGTCCTATGATTTCCATATTTCATATTTTTATTCTTTTTAGTAATATGAACCCGTCAGAAATTAAAAAATACATAAAAATTTTTTAATTATTTTAAAAATTATATATTATATAATTATATATTATATAATAATTAATTAATATTAATTAATCTAATTCAAAATAAAATTAATGTATAA